GGGGGTCAGAGATAACGTAGAAAAGAGAATACAGAAGAAACGAAAGAAAAAAAAGAGTCCTTGTGGTACCAAAATGACTAGGGCAAAAATCGTATGTCAGTATTTCGTGCAGCGTTCACCACCAATTAAAACTCCTGAAAACAAACAGTTCAGGATGCCGTCCTCTTTTTTCAAGATCAGTCTCTGTTCTCTTCCGCACTCCTCACAGTCACAGCGTAGTCTTCTCTCCTTTCTATACCCCTCCCACCCCCCCACCCCTCCTTCCAAGGTAAGCAGCTCTCTCCACGGAGTATTTTTTCTTGGAGTTTACCATGGAAGACAGTCTTCTCTATGACCCTGATCGCCCTCTCTTAGACTTAGAACCATTTCTTCTTTCAAAAGCAATACTGTTGTTTGTTTTGGTTTAACCTGGATTTTGAAACTGATTTCGAATGCTTTCGTGCCTCATGAACAATTTCAAGACGACAAAACGTTGTTCCCTTTATTCTCACCTTGACGGTTACGGTGGTCACACTAACGTCTGTGGTGTAGTGGTTAGGCGCTTCGCCGTTGCACTTAAAATAAGTTAAAAGACCTGAGTTCGATTTCAGTGTATGAATAGTTTTTATCGAGTATCATGGTCTTCTTTCAAGGACGTTGAATCCCTCTCAGTCCGGGTTGGCCCTTACACAGACAGGATCGAACCCACCTTCTACATCATCTAAATTATGCCGATGGGGATATAAGTATAAGGCATCCCACATCAAAAGAGGGCTGTCAAATTTGCCCTCATTGACTTCTGCTATGGACTCACAAGGCAGAACCTTGCTGGTATTTCCTTGGCCTTGGTAATTTCTGTCTGTTTAGTAAACAGAAGCTTTTAAAAATACCATCAACTTTCAAAGTGAACGGCAATGGAGAGGTGTGAGTCAAGATGTAAACACACTGGCGAGTAGTTTCAGTTTCGAAAGATGATGTTCCCACCAATGTCATCTCAGTATTGTTTGTCCTTAGCTTCTGATAGTGGGCTGTGGATCTAAGAGTTGCAGTAAATTCAGCATTTATTGCTGCCGAAAGTGGTACATTCCTGAAAATGGTCTGTACAGGATCTTGCTCATTTCTGAGTTGGAACTTTTCGTGTGCAGTGACTAAAGCCCAACGAGTTGTTGAACCATTTATAGCTTGTTCACTTTCGCCTGTTAGTGTTAAAAAAATAGAATTCTACTCATTTACTCATTTACCTATGCCTATGAAACTTTCCACGGCACTTCTGCAAGCCAGCGACGATTTTTTAAAAAACATTGATCTAATAACAAACGAATTTGTCTATTTGAACCCTATATAAAAAACTGTTCTTTTGGTGCTTATGCAGGATCACTAAGATAAATTGCTTACAGTAACTTAGCTACGAATTGCTCTTTTTGAGAGAGCGACACCACGCTGCCCCCACATTTAGGTTAACTTCGAAGAAAACGTATCGGAACCTTAGTTTACAGTGACCTTTAAGAATGGGCTTTTAGATTCTGTAGGTCATTCAAATTTTAAAGCCGTAAGCAAAGATCTGGAAAGATTGAAAATGGTGATTTCATTTTATCATGTTTTAACCGTGGTCAGACGAAAGCGAACAAGCTATAAAAGTATGGCTTTTCAGGTAGCCCTTATCTTGGCGTACAATCTCCATGTGCCGACCATGGGAAGTAAGTCAGGAACAAAGAAATTTAATCAAATGAAATGGAGTTTAGTCCCTTGACAACACGTACACCGACACGTGCGATCCCTAATCTTCGTATTCTTCTTCTTTTAGGAAAAAGATTCTTTTTGATAAATTTTAATGGTTCCCACCTACATGATTTTGTAGTATGGGAATAGAGTACATAACTGACAGTACGGACAACGACGACGATGAAAGACAACTGCTGTGAAATCAACCCAACTTTTTTTAGAGGTATCATACTATTTCTTCGTCTAACTTCTAGTTCAAAGTTAATCAACACTGTTTTCTATCTATACGTTCGGAAAGCGAAAGTCAGATTTCCTGTCCCAATCTGGTCCTATAATTGGAAAAGTTTGCATTTCAGTTTTGTAAAGCTAAAATTCGATAGCTGAGTAACTCGGAACATCATGAAATGCTGTGATCAGAGTGGGGCAAGCTGTAGTACAGAAAGAGTAGAGAATGCTGACGACACTCCAGATAAATTTATCTAGTGCAGCGTCGAAAACAGCTAAAGAGAAATGAATATTATTTTATGTAACCGCTTCTACAAGTGTATCAAGGATTAGGCCATTGTCTTTACAAAATTAGTTTTCACTTCGTTTGACAGATTTATCGTTATTATTATTATTATTATTATTATTATTATTATTATTATTATTATTATTATTATTATTATTATTATTATTATTATTATCATTATCATTATCATTATCATCATTATTATTATTATTATTATTATTATTATTATTATTATTATTATTATTATTATTATTATTATGAAGATGTTTCGCTCGCACGAGCTTGTAAACGACATCTCAGATGTTAGCTATTTTAAAAATACTGAATATTGTATGGGTTTCTTTCTGTATATTTGCCTCTATTGTGTAAGAGAACATTGCAGAATGGGACAACACTCGTATTACCCGTTCTCTTTTCCACCTTTTCTTTGATCAAATGACCCTAAAAGTTTGGAGAGGTTTTTTAAATTCCCCAAATTTGCCGCTTCTGTAGACACCAGTCTGTGTGGCATGTTATATTGCACTACTAAAGATTTCTAGCCATAAAAGACCTTTATGGGTGTTTGGTGGGTGTTCTAGGGTGGTTTGCTCCTCCTCTAATTTAAAAAACCTATTATCCTTACCTTTTTTCTATTGTGTGTTTGTCACTCTCTTGTCACACCTCTAATCACCGGCACGTATATGACCTTACTGTGTTGCAAGTTCCGTAAAACTCTTACAAAAACTAAAAAAGAAGACTTTCTGTTTATGTTCATAGCTTTGTATAATTGTGTACGTATAAAACTGACGTCACAAAATGCAATGAAATATATTATGTACATGGAGACCATCAGACGAAGCTTTATCGTCCTGAGCCTTTGCATTCATCCTTGTGTGCGTGACTTCCATTCAAAATTGGTCTATTCTCATCGTCGTCCTGAGCCCAGTCTTGAATCTGGCCGGAGGCAAAAATACAGTAGAATATGGCACCAAAAAGATAGACTCCGGCGCAGATGAAGAACATGGTTCGCCACTCAGCCTGGGTTTGCTGCAGATGTAAACAAAACCGAAAAAAGGTATGGGGAGAGGTTTAAGGCGTGGGGGGGGGGGTAATATGAATTTAAGGGGTTTTCTAATGGTCAAGATTACTAAACTCGAACTTGAAGTGCACACGTAATTATGCCCTTGCGTATGTCTCTGGTCCATACTATCGTATCATTTTCAAGGACGGTATATTATGCAAGCAACTGCAGGTTCAGAACTTAGTAGAAGTAGGCCATAGCAATGCTTTTAAGACTATAGTAGCAATCCATATGCATTTTTTATAGACGCCCTACAAGACCACTTTAAACAGATAAGATAATATCTTCATTTCCAGAGGGTAACTAAATCAGTAAATCTATATTCAATGTCTTTTGTCTGATAGAAATTCTTTATTCTGCTAAATACGTGTTCTCTTTTGGCGTAAATGATTTTTGTACGTGTAGTGCGGGTTCAACGACCGTTTCAATGTAAGGTCATTCGTGCGGATGAAAGTTTCTATTTTCAGATTCCATCAAATATTGAAATCAATTTTCTTTTAAAAAGAAATATACGGTAGCAAATGTTCTCACTCCTGCAGTGACAACTCCAACGACAACAGGAACAGCTTCGTCGACAAGAAATCCCACGGTGGCCACAAAGCCGAATACAATTCCGGAATATCGGGGTGCAATATCAGCGATGTTACAAATGATGCAGTTGTTATAACAGACACCCAGCATGGACACTGTTATAACGAGAACGGTGACCGCAGCTACAGGTTGTGTGGAGTCGAGGAAGCCAAGGGCTACGATAGAAACTGCCGCGCCAACCAGTCCTGAGGATACAGACAAGATGTTTTACTAGGCTATTGTTGGCTGTTGTTTTGTATATAATTGGCCTGTGTTCGGCAATTAGATTAAACAAAATAGTAGAAACACAATTTTCGCTACTCCTTCAAGTCTTCTACCAAAATGAAGATGGGAAAAACAAACAATTTCCTATGTACCTTACCGTGGAACCCTCTTGATACACTAGTGCGACAAGTGACAAGAAAGATTCCCAGGTCACTCTTATGATTACTGAATCTTTCTTGTACATTTAAATAATGTATATTCTACTTAATATATTTTATTATTCTCATCGATTTTTGTCGACACTTTCCACAAATATGCAGCTTTTTACTTATCCGTTGATAATTTTAAAAGAAAAACCTTTTAAACATTGTAAATGCAATTAGAACTAGCGCTGGTATGATATTAATCAGGTATATCTTTATTCAGTATGATGAAATGTACAGATCTCATTTTTTAAAATATTCTCTTTATTAATAATTGTTACTTTGATAAATGAAAATTTCAACCAACCAATGACATTCCATATCTTCCGTAACACCACTGTTGAACAGACTCTCCTTTTCATCATAAAGTCAGAGCAAGCACCAGAGACGTTCAACACGAGGAAAAATCCAATAAAAGGCAGCGCTGATATTATTCCATTCTGTAAACGGAAGATAAAAATATCGAGTAAGACTTTGAACTATGGTAAAATGGTATAGATTTAACGCCCTTATCAACAGTATTGGGTTATTGAAATTTAAGAGGCCGCACCTCCGAGTTTCACGTCCATCTCCCAAAGGACCGGGCCAAATGGGAAATTCGTTTGTTTTGCCTTTCTCAAGAAAAAAACATCCGGCCGAGCTACTTATCGGACCCCCGAACCCGCAATCTCACGATTACAAGTCCGGCAACCTAACTAGGCCACCGACACCACTGCATCTTTTTTCAAAAGATACAAAACAAACGTGCCTGCAGCTTTTTTCTGGCCTAGGAGCTGAATTTGACCAAAATATAATGTTAATTTTCTTACTCTAAACCAGAAATCTACACCTGTTTAGGTAAAAATACAGTTTTCTATGATCTGAAAATTATCGGTCAAGGAATGACTATAATGTTATCCTCTCTTTACAGGGAATCAGACTGTGACTGCTCACCTCTCCAGCTTCAACAGCACAAAGTCTGCTTCGACTATCAAGGCACCCCGGAAATAGCAGGTCACAAGAGTGTGACAAACATACAAAAGAAATAGAGGACAATAGTAAGGATTCGGAAAGAAAAAGCAGTAGTTCCCTGTAGTAGATCAGGCCTAGTTATGAGCGTGACATGATGAATCAGCCCATTTACAATTCTACTGTGCATGAACGAGAAATGTCCCCCCTTTGGGAATGGCCTAAAGACACTACAGTCAGTGGCACTGCCCCCGGGGGGTGCCTTCAAATATGACATAATTATTATGAAAAGATAATGGTAAGCAAAAGGGTGAAATACGGAGGGAAATATATCAGTCTGATACGACTTTTTAGAGAGCATCAGAGCAAAGGAATGAATGGCGAACCATTATTGGCGACGTCTGTAGCGGTTCTGTATTACACCGGTATTCATAGAGAGACAAATATAGAAAGGATGAGGGAAAGATATTAATATGTAAAAGAACAGAGAAACAACTATGCTACACGTCCATGTGGTACACTATAACTAAAAGACAAACCTTCGAGATGTCGAAAAACAGCACTTCATGCAGGTATTGCGAAATACAGGATTGGAACATGAAGTAGCCCCAGGCAATACAACATACGCCCATAGTGATGGCCCACACAGGCCTTGAAGTGATGATGGAACACCAAGGTATTTTTGAAGACATCTAGTGAAGAATAACGGGAGAGCGAACGCTAATTAATTGTCTTTGAATGGTCTGTTTTGTTTGAATCCACATGCGCACTGTCATAAGGTTTGTAGATTCTCTACTCTCTCTCTCTCTCTCTCTCTCTCTCTCT